TGGGCTCCATCTAGACCAGAGCAGAACTGGAAACAGCATCACGTTTAGGCAATCAGTGGTTCAGAAAGGAGTGACCGAGAGATAAATGACCGAGGAAAACTATATTCTTGTATAACAGCAGATGGGAAACTCCTAAGCTAAAACAAGGTGTATGGTTTTGAAAGGATTCTAAAGATACGACTCATTCACAACAGCTGGCTTTACTGTATGTGTCTCTTGGGAAGGCCCCTGTCACCACCACTAAATTGCATTTTGCGATATATTCATCTGCCTCATTCCATCTCACTGATTTACGTCAGGTAGGCACCTGTATCTGAGCCAGTCATATCCACTCTTTTTGCTGCCTTTGCAGGGCAATTCATGGCCAGCCTAAGGCCCCTACCTAAAGATGGGAGGAATCACATGCTGGAGGTACCTATTTTTCTGATGATGAGAAACATCTAATTCAGTAGAGGATTCCCACAAGTTACATCTTCTCTCTAAAAGCATCTTTTCAGGGAGAGGCTAGAGGTATATGGTATAATGTAATCAGTTGTGAAATAAAATAAATACAGTGTGGACTGCTAACATTTCAAAAAGGATGAGAAATTGCACCATCTCCTTATTGCAAGCATTCCTCCTTAAAATCTCAGGTGATTAATGGGAAACAAAATAACCAGATAGCCTAATCTGGGACTACAGAACGAGCTCTGCGCATGGTTTCAGCCAAAGACAGCCAGAGACAGTTGATAACTTCAGTGAAAAATTCTTTTTTCGTTCAAGAAGAAGGGAAACAGAAGAGCAAAGGAAATCAGGAAAAGAAAAGAAGAAAGGAAACAAAAATAGAAAAGAAAGAATCCAGAGAACCTGGAAAACTTACCTCCTCTGTGTTTGGAGATCTAATTTTTTGTGTAAGGGCTGAATGATTTTATCTCCTTAACTCCTGCCTTCCTGGGTAGGGATGTGTTAGAGCCCAGAGTCTTTAAGGAACATAGAATGGCTTCTGGAAAGCTTCCAACACTTGCTTAGGAGGTGCCTTTTACTGTACAATCCCATCTAATTTAATTTCTTGCTTTTATGTATCACAAGTGTATCTTGGTGTTTGCCTGCCTATGTGAGAACTGCTGTGATGGGCTGTCTGGATAGCGTGGCCTGGCCCGTGTGCCCTGGATGATGCCTTCACAACCCAGCAGCAGAAGGAAGGCTGAGAAGACCGCCGTTTAAGTAGCACTCTTTAACCCTCTCCAAGGAAATCTCCCACCTGAAGGGCTCTTGGGGATGGAGGAGGGAGGCACGGAGGCTCAGTGAAGGGAAGGCATGAAAGGAGGGAGCAAAGGAGGAGAAATTAATTCTGGCCTGACTGAAAAGCTTAAGCAAACACATTTTCAAGAAATAGCCATCGGTCAGTGATAATAATATTATGAAGGCACTTCAGGATTTCTCCAGGAGAAATAACGGCCAATGGATTAGCTGAATATTAAACTGGACAAGCCTGTGCAGTGACCTCGCCCAGTTAACGCTTTCCAGAGTCCTTCATTAAGCCCTGCTTTGTGGTTTTCCCAAGTGTAGAGGCCCATTAGATCCACTGCTTTGGCTTTATGGCCTTGTGAGTAATAAAACGGTATTTAAAATCTTCACGTGTTCTAAAAAGAAAACACATGAAACACAAATCTTCATCAAAAAAACATCAGAGAGATTTCTAGTAGTAAGGAGAGAGGCAGCATGACCTGGAGGTAGCAAAGAGTTACCTGCCACAGTGGTCTTTTGAAGGACAGGTTAGGCACGCTTCTCTCCCTGTAGTGGTTATGATTAAGTTAAGTTTTCACAGAGACAGAGGATGGCCTGGGTTACATCTTGGTAAGCCATCGAGCCTTATTTTGCATGAAATTTCATCACTGGCAACCCAGTGAACAAAGCCTCTTGCAAAAATTGCGCACTTTAGCAAAGGTCAGCAAAGTACAGAGTAAGTAAAAAACAATCCTTCTTTTACAAATGGGGAAACTGAAGGAAGAAGTCAGCTCTTTTACGCCTGTGGAAGTCAGCAGAGTTGAGACTTTGTCACTCTAGGCTTTCCTATGGAAAGAAATAGAGCTCTCCAGAAACTGATTCACCTAATCTACCTCAGACCTGATTTTAGGATGAGATGAGGTCTGAAATAGACATCTAGATTTTGAACAAAATTACTTAGGGCAGACAAAGGCCACATCCAAAAAGTTACAGTCAACGGCTCAATCTCCAGGTAGAAACCAGCAACGAGCAGTGTCCCTCAAGGGTCCATACTGGGACCAATACTATTTAATATCTTCATCATTGGTATGGACAGTGGGATCGAGTGCACCCTCAGAAAGTTTGGAGATGACACCAAGCTGAGTGGTGCAGCTGATACACTTGAGGGAAGGGGGCCTCAAGAGAGGCCTTGACAGGCTCAAGGAATGGACCCATGAGAACCTCACGAAGTTCAGCAAGGCCAAGTACAAGGTCCCACACCTGAGTTGGGGCAATCCCCACTATCAGTACAGATTGGAGGATGAGGGGATTGAGAGCAGCCCTGCAGACAAGGACTTGGGGATACTGGTGGATGAAAAATTTAACATGAGCCAGCAATGTGTGCTTGCAGCCCAGAAAGTCAACCATATCCTGGACTCCATAAAAAGAAGCATGGCCAGCAGGTCTAGGGAGGTGATTCTCCCCCTCTAATCCGCTCTGGTGAGATGCCACCTGGAGTACCGCATCCAGCTCTGGGGTCCTCAGTACAAGACAGACATAGACCTGTTAGAGTGGATCCTGAGGAGAGCCATGAAAATGATCCAAGGGCTGGAACACTTCTCCTTTGAAGAAAGGCTGAGAGACTTCAGCCTGAAGAAGAGAAGGCTCCTCAAGACCTTCTTGTGGCCTTTCAATAGATAAAGGGGGCTCATAAGACAGAGAAAGGCTTTTCAACAAGGCCTTTAGCAACCGGACAAGGGGCAATGGTTTTAAACTGAAAGAGAGTAGATATAGATTGGACACAAGGAAGAATTTTTTTCTGATGAGGGTGGTGAGACACTGGAATGGTTGCCCCTAGAATCTGTGGATGCCTCATCATTGGATGTGTTCGAGGTCAGGCTGGATGGGGCTCTGAGCAACCTGATCTAGTGAAAGATGTCCCTGCCCATGGTGGGGCAGGGGCGTTGGACTAGATGATCTTCAAAGGTCCCTTCCAACCCAAACCATCCTAAGATTCTACGCAATTTTGCTGTCAAAAGCCTCATCTTTCTTAACTTAAAACTTCTTCAGTCAAAGGTGAATCTGTGATATGAAATACAATAAAGCAAATGGATATCGCAATTCATGCAGCAGTTAAACTCATCGCTGCTCTGAAGGCTACTGTGTATTTTTAGCTTCTGACTTATGGGTGTCAATAAATAGTTTAATCCACTGCCTGTTACTTTGTCTTGTTGACATTTCTTGAAGTTTAGAATGTCCCAATAACAACCAAGGTAATGTAACCACCTCCCAACACAGAATGCAAACAATCCATGCAGTGAAAATGGAAATCCCCGAATTAATGAGGAGGTTAAATACTGCTCTGGGTGAAAAAAGTCCTCTAAATTAAATATCATCTTACACTGTAGCCTGGAGTCCTGGCCAGGTTAATAAGGGTTAACAGTAGTCACTATGTGAAACAGAATATTGGGTAAGAAAGTAAAAACAGTATTACAATCTTTGGGAAAGGAAGAGGAACAAAAAACAATGGAAGAAGCTAGAGGTTAACTATCGAGTATCTGGCCTGCAAAGCTAATTTGGGCCAGATATGCCAGTTTCTGTACTCACTCATGTGGCAGTGATTTGCCCAGCATCATACTCATCTCCTTTTGTTTCCCTATCCAAAGGGACTAGCAGAAGTGACTTCATGCGCAAGCCCAAATCAAGAATTCCTGGTCTCTCCTGTTGCAAAATAGTTCCCTATAAGGATGTGCTTACTGCCAGGAAAGAAGAAAGGTGTTTTCTCCATTTTCTCTCCACTTACTTTGGCACATGGATCCAGACACCATGGTGGTGGTAGCTCATGCACATGGAGGCACTGTGCATGGTGAGAAGATGAGTGAGGTGTTGTGGGTGGGTAGTGAATGCTGGCAAGGGACTGTCTTGATAGACATATGGCTGGTGAAGAGGTGTGAATTTGATGGTGGGCAGGACGTGGCTGAGGCACTGTTTAGGGGAAGTTGTGAAACTGGAACGGAGGCTGGAGGCTGCCTTGAGGGATTTTGTGAAATCGGAAGTGCCTGAGGTGTGGTGAAGGACTGTGCTGAAAGACAGTATGAAGTGGCAGGTAATACTGTGGGGTGTGAAGTTGCATCGAAAGAGCTCATGACATCAGAAGCGGGCATAGTGTATTGAAGGCAGCACAAGCAGAGGTTGTGCAATTGTAGCTGCTGAGGTGTGGTAAGGCTATGGAGTTTGAGGGGACCCTCCTCCAGGAAAGGTTGTGTGAAGCAGTAGGGATCGAGTAGGGAGGTAACTTTTGTTGGGAGAGGCTGTGGGTCAGAAGAGGACACTCTGTGGTGATAGGTGTGTTAAGGCCAGTTTGGCAGGGACAGTAGGTCCTCAGGGAATGAGTTCTGCTGAGGGAGGTTGCAAAATCATCAGCCGGCATTATGGAAGAGGGCTGACAATTTCCCAATCTATGCAACCCTGAGTGGCAGTAAGGCGTCCTCTTCAAAGACTGTGAAACTAGAGCATCTCAAGGGCACAAGTAGGAAACAAAGCGTCAGTGCAAGAGGCAAGGTACAATTTTGTACAGACAGTTCTTGCTTTCTTTGTATTGTGAGACCGGCTGAAGAAGGGAGAAGTAGTAAAAAAACATTTCCAGAACCATGACAGTGACAGGTTCTGTACAAAGAGGGAAGGGGGAAGTATTTCAAATCTAAGTGACCACACACAACAAACTAGATATTTCCCCAAGAGAGTGATTGGCTGGCTGTCGGATGTCACGTTGAAAAGACCGTGGCTTTTTAAACAGTGTCTAACTAGCCCAGCACTACAGTATGACACAAGGAATTTATCTGGACCGTATGTCACAGAATTCAGGTGACAATTTTACTCAGCAGATCCATACCAGGCAGCTGCTGCAAATCAGTAACTGAAATTCCAAGGAACCCACAAAAAGGTGAGAAATTCCTGGATGGTATCTTTGCCATTGCACTCTGTCTAATGCTTTCTGTCATGCTTTTGAAGAGATGGTGAGGGGAAGGAAAGAAGAAAAAAAATGGAGGAAAGGAGATCAAACATTTCCTTCTCTGCTGGTTAGAAATTGGCTATAGGTAAGCAATCATCTTGATCATTTTCAAGATAAGGAGAGCTTCATTCTGGGGACCCTTTTCCATGGACAAGTGCTACTGAATTGCTCTAAATACACTTCTGTAATATAAGATGCCATTATTCAGAGACCTAGCATTAGCAGTTTTGGTCTTAAATGATTGCTTAAGATTAGCCAAGAAAATACAACACCATAACTTTGTGTCTATAGCCTAAAATGTCTCTGTGGTGTCAAGGTTGTTCAGACTGACATCTGCCACAAGAACTAGCTGGTACTCAGAACGCAAACCACAGGAAGTATGTTTAATCTCAAGAGAGAGAAAGACCACCTAGTTTTCATTAATTAGTTTCATGAAGGAAATAGATTCACATCTTGAATATGTTTTGGAGACATGAAACGTGTCTTGCAGAACAAGAAATCAGTCTTTCCACGGTCATACAATAAATATATGAGAACCGTGAGTGACTTTTTCGGTATTCTTTTCCACCTCGACAGAAGTCAGAGAAGGTTTCCTCCACTTCCATCACAGTGGAAGGCAAAATTATTGATGTTTTGTCATTTATTCACAAGGCGTCCATTGCAGCCATATCTGTACCAGGCAGTCTTTATGCGCGTATGACCAATGGCACAGGGCCATGTCAACATTAGGAAATATTCTTGAGAAGCTTAAGTTAGACAGCTAACCACCTGGCTTCCCCTGAGTGCCCAGTGGAGAGAGACGCACTTCTGGAGGATGGGGTCAATGTCTTCTGGAGATGGCTGCAGCAGGGAGGTAGAATTTTTAGCTTTCGTAAAATGGGCACTGAGTCAGAAGGCTGGAGTAGGCTTAGACAGAGCTTAAGTGACACTCAAATGTTCATGTCCTCTTCAAATCAATTGGAAATTTTCTTCAGGTTACACAGATAGCTTGTGGCAGAGACAGTGCTGAATTCTACAGGCTAGGAAACCACTTAACCACTGGGTCTTCCTTTCTCCTCAGAGCTGCCTTCATTCACAGAATTAGAGGCTGCTTTCTACTGTGAATCGAGGTCTGATTATTTCCTTCTATCCCAAAAGCAGGTAGCGAGGAAGTGAACATAAGGCTGTATCTTTTCAATTTGCTTGCTACAGATGTTCAGGGAAGAGGTAGCCTTGCTAGTGATGTGGGTAAGGCACTGTACTGCTCTCCCCAGATGGGGAAAGAGAAGGTGAGTTTGAACTCGGGGATGTTCCTGTTGTGAAACTGTGCTACAACAGAGACTCTGTGCATTCTGAAGGAGATGATGGGTTTTGTTTTCCATAGTCCCTTTCAATATGTACTAAAATTCTTTCTTCAGAGACTACTGGTCTCTAAAGGCTTAACTTTAGAAACTCGAGAAACACTGGAGTTCCCATAACAGCTGAGGGTGGAATCCTCCAGCTTCCTATATAAGGGTATGGTGCAGTGCCAGAAATTCCCTGGTTTTGGTCACCCCTAAAGGTTTCACATCCGGCAAGCGCTGGTGAAGTTAAAGGGTGGAATCCACCTCAGCTAGATTCAGCTGTCCACATGCTAATCCTCTCACTGAGGCTGTCACTCTGCAACGTATCTGCAGTCAGACAGGCAGGTGACGGGCTCACCTACCTAAGACACCTATCTTAGCATAAAATACATTACTATTGGAGGTGCTCGTAAACTGCCTTTAATTCAAACGGCAGCCTTAAAGGCGATATTAGATGAGATGTTTGCATATTGAATGGTGAAAGCCAGGTTTAATGGCTGCAGCTGGATTCCCAATGAAGCACTGCTGGTGTTCGCACGTGCTTCCACAGACTAATGCAGCAAGATTGTCTCCAACTGCTCCAGGCCATCAGCTGGGCAAGGAAACAACCTTCATCTTGCATTTATCTTGCCTCTATCCATGCAGCACTGAAGGCAGCATGCCTGGGGTGCTGAGACGAAACGATAATGATTCAATCTGCCACATTTCACTTGTTTATGGAAGTCTGTCTCCATGTATGCTGCAGCGTTTTACAAAGAGAGAACAGAATATTTATGCTGGTTAGACTGTTCAGTGATTCACATCTTCCTAGCTCTCCCCATTCTGACTTGTTCCTCTCTTTAACTATCTCCTGCTATCTTTCAAAACACTCCTCTAACTTCCCATGTCAAAATTAATAACTG